CTTTGGCATGCGGTTAGCGTTGCGTATCTTGCGGCCGCACTCGCTCACTCTCACTCTCACTCTCTCACTGTCTCACTGTCTCTCTCATCTCTCTCATCTCTCTCATCTCTTTCTCATCTCTCTCATCTATCTCTCCTCTCTCTCTCTCTCTCCTCTCTGTCTCTCGTGTTTCCGTCTCTCTTCTCTCTCTTCTCTCGCAGGAGGATCCGGGCAAAGAGCCACATATAAAGGACTCTTCACCCCTGCCTCCAAAAAGAGCTCCATGTTTTTTCCTACCTCGCTGCCCTCCACTTTCCCATTCTGGAGCGCTAGCTTTCGCCCCCCCCTTGGCCTCAAGTATATATAAACAGGAACTTTCAATATACAAACAGGATCCATGACGGTCTCCGCTCTTGTCCTCCTGTTCTCTCCTCGTCCTGTCCTCCCTGTCCTCTCCCGTCTCCTGCTGCGCGACACCGCCAGAAGGACAGGCGGAGACGAGAGGAAGACAGGAAGGACACCAGGAGACGAGAACACAGGACGCAACCGCTCGCGACTGGAGCTCAACTGTCTCGCGACTGGTTGGACAGCAGTCCGTCACACTCCCATTTGAGCCCGGATCCTTTGATATCCTCTCTTCGATCATGTCCTGTATATCACAAGAGTTTTACCTTTGCTTTTATTGTATATATAAACAGGATCCAGGCGCATCGAAAGCTACGCTGACGGTGCTGGGTGCCGTGCTCGGGTGCAGGTGCTTGGGATCGGCAGCTGGGTCAAGCCTTACACTCGATTGGATCTATTGCAACGACAAGCCGTCTAAGTCGTCTAAGCCTTCTCATGCTCGGAAGTAACACGTCACGGAGTTTTATGCATCCTCACATTCTAAACCTCCCAACTCAACACTGTTGAACATATCACTTGCAGCCAACTTTTCCACTGTAGTCAGATCTTCTCCAGCTTAAACAGAGTTCGTTTTGACTGCCCCATTTTCTGCGCATTCTGAGCTTTTGGTACTCGTACAAGTTGCCTCACTGTAGCATCCAGAAAGTCTTCTTACAGTCGCAGATGCTGCTAGCTGCATAGGCATTGCAACCTGACTTAGGATGACGCAAGTCCACCAAACTTTTGGTAAAACAACAGGAAGAAACCTGTGTCAAGGGATTGAAACGACGAGAATTATCTGGTGTATACACACATATCTATTTTAATATAGTGTGGATTATTATATCCAAACCGTCCTAACACTGTCACTGACACCGAATGTTTTACCGCTCAAGCACCGCTGCCCACCCACCACATGCTGTGTTCAAGGAACGGCGAGACATCGGCATGGATCAACCGTCCAAATCACTATATGCATATACAGTATATACATATGTACATACATATATAGATACACCAGTATGTGTTGGTGCCTAGATGGATCCAATCAACCACTGAATTTGATTCTTGGCCTGAGAGAACTGCCAAGAAAAGGCGGCAAAATTCTGCATTCTACAGCCTTGCCATCAAGTTGCAGAAGGGAGAGAGGGAGAGAGAGGCGTTCATTCAGAATTCATGCTTTCTCACTCCACACGTGATGACTACATTGACCATGGATGCTTATTTGGACGCAGCCAGAGTGGAAGCAAAGCCACTCACAACAGCCTTTCCGTTTACAGGCATGCGCATTGGCAAGCTTTCAAGGATCATGTCGTTTTGCAGAGAGATTGACCTGTGCAAACCTGCAATCAAGCTCCACCTCGGGTCATTTGCACTGTTCCATTTTTAAAGTCGAACACTTGTTAAATCTTGTTAAGCTTGTTCAACTGCCATTTGCGATCTCTTGGACATGTCTCCTCGCCATGAGTCCGGGGGCCCGGGCTTTGATTCAAAGCCGCTGCACTTTTTTTCATTGTGAACACATGTGAACACATGGACATATTCTGAAGTTATGTTTCTTTTCTAAACATCTAGGAACCAAAGGATTAGTGCGTGAGCTATCCTGCGTCCTACCTAGGAGCGTCCAGTACCTAACTCCCAAGGAACCCAATAGCAATGGCCTCCAACCTTAAGTTTCCCCAAAAATCTAGGAACCAAATCATTAGTGCGAGCGCTTCTTCAAGGAAGCTGGAGGAGTTTCCTTGAAGAAGCGCGAGCTGCCCTGCATCCTGTCAGTAGTAGCGTTCTTGTAACTACTAGCTATTCCTCTCTAGCTACCTCCTACCTCTCTGCACGGCCTACCCCCCCCATTTCGTCAGGTGACGAGGACCTGCTACATGGCTTGGAGATTTCCACGGGTGAGCTGATCCTCGAGTCTCGGGTTGGGACAGGCTGCACCTCGGAGGTCTACAAAGGCATTTGGACGCGCAATGACAAGGAGAGGCATTTCAACAGAGCGAGAAAGCTCGGAGAATGTCAAGAGTGTCTTCAGGTCTAACATCTTGCTTACTAGAGTCTACATCGCTTGTAGGTTGGAGGCCATCGCTATGAGGTTGAAGGAATGTATTGTTTTAAAGAAAGAAAGAGACGTTCTGCAAGAAGCGTTTTTGTCAGTAAGGGGTAGTTCGTCAATTCCCTGCACATAGCATGGGGTGAATATTATTATCCTTAGAGCGATATGATGATGTAGCACATTGTGAAGCAAACAGTTTCAACACACATGTTACCCCCTATGATCCCCCATGTTTTCATTCGGGCTTGTTGTTTCTTGCTCGGTTTATGCCCTGGCCCTGAGTTTGGCTTCCGGCTCCCTGAAGGTTGTTGCGATCAAACAAATCACCGAAGATGCTCGGATGAGATCAGAGCAGCAGCTCGCGTTCGTGCGCGAGATGAGTGTCTTGACTCAGGTGCCTTGCTCCAACTTGCCATATGAAACGAGCTACTAGTAGCCTTTGTTCCGAGTGGCATTCTTGCTACTAGTAGTGATGCCCGGAGCTACTAGTAGCGTCTTTGTTCCTATAAGAAACACATAGAAGCATCATGTGCAAGAACTGCTCTTTTTGCTTGCCTCCTTCAACATGTTGCACTCAGGTGCGGCATGAAAATTTAGCACCCTGGCGCTTGACATCGTTGGGGCTTTGGTCGGTGTCAGTTTCGGCCTTGAAAGTGAGGAAATATGAGGAAATTAATAACAATAAAGCTACTAGGAACAAGTGCATCGCTACTAGTAACAAGTGCCTTACTAATAGAAACAAGGTTCGCTATTAGAAACAATAAAGCTATTAGGAACAAGTGCCATTAAAAAGACTCACTCGAACAGGGTGATATCAGCTCCAAGCCGCGAATCGGACTCTCACTAGACAGACTTGTCACTAGCTTCTTGTTTCTACTAGTAAGGCACTTGTTCCTAGTAGCGATGCACTTGTTCCAAATTGCGTGGCACTTGTTACTAGCAGCTTCCGCGTTCCGTTTTTTTTGGTTTCGCATTTCTTTTGTCTCAAAAAACCGCGTCGTAGTGTCAAGTACTGTCGTACGTGAGGTCCAGTTGTACGGCGTGTGCCTGGATTCTCCGCCGCTGCGCATTGTCACGGAGTTCTGCGGTGGTGGCGCAGCCTTCGAGCTGCTCCACGGCTCACCACACATCGACCTGGCCACTTAGTCACAAGGGGAGACGAGACTTGAGAAGACCTGGACGTCGAAAGAGGAAGATCATAACAATGACGAACCTACCAGCGATGGCCTTCAACCTAAGAGCAACGGCCTCCAACCTATGGATAGCTTGAGTTATTCTTGGACATGAGCCCTTACTAGTGCAAAGGATCCTTCTGGAATCCTTCTTTAAGAGCTTCTCCGGGGAAGTGCTTGTTCAGTTTTGGCGTAACACAGAGCCGAAGGGATTTGGACATATTTGGCTCTGAGGTCTACTCACAGCAGATCAAAATGTGCCGAGATGTGGCCAGGGCCATGTGCTATTTGCATACCTTTAACCCAATGATCATCCACAGAGATTTAAAATCTCTGAACCTTTTGCTTGACAAACCGGTCAGAGGCAGGATGCACATTGAACCCACTTCAGTGTATTGGATAGCTATCAGCTGGTGAAATCCAATCAGTAGGAGCAAGGACGCTACTAGGGGCTCCTGGCATCGCTACTAGGAGCAAGGACGCTACTAGGAGCATTCTTGCTCCTAGTAGTAAGGCCAGGAGCCCCTAGTAGCGTCCTTTGCTCCTAGTAGCGATGCCCTTTGCTCCTAGTAGCGCCCTTTGTTACTTGCTTCTCCAATTGTTGCAGGTCCGACGGATTTGCCTTTGATCAAAGTTTGCGACTTCGGTGTCGCCAAGTTCCAGGAGCAAGCGGGCTCTTGGGGGCAGATGACGAATCAGGTGCAACAGTTCTCGGATACCGAAAGATGTTGACAAAAGCATAATTGCTAAGGTGGAGTATATTGCTCTTAGGTTGGAGGCCATTGCTAGTATATTGGATCCAGCATGTGCACTGTGCGATTGGAGTGGAATGATTTCAGCTCCAGGCAGGCACCAAGCATTGGATGGCCCCAGAGATGTGGGCGGGCTCAACCTATGATGAGAAGGCAATGTGATCAAAGGGTTTGAATAAAAGGCAATGTGATGCAACTAGTACGGAAACTCAATACCAACCTAGAAGATCAAGAAAAAGCATGTCGGAACTTCAAAGTCCTGTCGAACAGGTAGATGTGTTTTCCTATGCTATGGTCATCTATGAAATTATTTGCCGCGAAGTCCCTTTCGAGGATGAGGAGCTTCGAAGTGTTGGCCTGGTTCTGCCTAAGGCCTCTAACCTAAGAGCGATGGCCTCCAACCTAGTACACTAGTAGCGATGGTCAACTAGAAAAGCTACTAGTAGCAAGAAGCTATTAGCAACAAGTGCATCGCTTCTAGTAACAAGTGCCTTACTGGTAGTAACAAGAAGCCATTAGTAGAAAAATGACCAGAGATTCAGCTGTTGCATTGTAGGAACCGACAGATGTCGGAAAATACACTGTCGCCGGCCTTCGCCCTGACATGGATGCGGTGCCACCAGACTGTCCAGTGGAATTGATCAAAATCATGAAGGCAGAGAGCACGAGAGAGGGGGCAAGGACGCTACTAGGGCCTTTAGGGGCTCCTGGCCTTACTACTAGGAGCAAGGACGCTAGTAGGGGCTCCTGGCCTTACTACTAGGAGCAAGGACGCTACCAGGAGCAAAGGGCATCGCTACTAGGAGCAAAGGACGCTACTAGGGGCATGAGGGCAACGATATCCAAGATGATCTCAGTGAGTTCACCCGCCATGAACCTGCTGTGTTTGGCTAGACTCAGGCATTTTGTTTGTCATGTCGGTCCTTACATCAACACTTTTCTACTTGCTGTCTAAAGTTTATTTATTCAACTTGCTGTCTACTTGCTTTCTACATCAACTTTATTTATTCATTGTTTTTTGGTACTAAACACATCTTTTTCACACCGCGGCCCATTTCCTTTTCTTTTTCGTGTTCTTCGGACCATGAAACCCTTGGACATTCTTTTGTCGTTCTTTGGATTCGTTTATTTGTCTTATTTCTTTCTCAGACCGTTTCCTTATTTCATATCCTTTCCTTATTGACAGACAAGTCCCAAGTAGCCAAGGAAAGCCTTGGGTCATGGACTGTGAAGGACTGTGAAGGAACTCTAGGACGCTACGAACGGAGCAAAGGGCATCGCTACTAGAAACAAGTGCATCGCTTCTAGTAACAAGTGCCTTACTACTAGTAACAAGAAGCTACTAGGAGCAAAGGGCATCGCTACTAGGAGCGATCGGACGCTACTAGGAACTCTTTTCTTTGAGCCCGTCACAGCCTATCCCCCGTCGAGGCGTGCTGGGCTCAAGATCCCTCGGAGCGGCCATCGTTTCCCAAAGTCTTGGAGGGAATTGAAGCCCTGCGGATTTGATTCCAAGTTCAACCTCACACCGGTGCCTCCGGTGAGCAGATGCTTCATAGTTTTATATTCTTTTCATGTTCTTGCTAGTTCAGACTTGTTTTCCAACTTGTTCTAGCTGTTTTTCTAACTGTCTTTGTTTTGAGGTGTGTCGCCTTTACGGTGGGTCTGACAGGGTTGGCCAAATTGCGTGATTTGATTTCACAGTGGCAGAACAGTAAACAGCCGTTCTTTGGCGAGCAAGTAGGCAATACTAATGAGAATCATGGGCCATCATCGTGCAAGCCTTTGGACTTCAGACACAAACATGGGCTGTTGGAACTTGGAAGACCAGATGGTGTGTACCATGGAGCCAATTCCATCACTTTCTATAGTGACTATGGGAACTTTTGAATCATGACTTTGTCCTCTACATTGATATTATGTTCACAATTTCTTATGTTGGTCGATTCTTTCATGGTGTTTTGATTCGATTCTGCGGCTGACGTTGTGCCACTGCAGATTTGCCAGGGTTCAAATCCCTTGCCGTGTGCTTCGCCGCTGTGATCACTCTAGTGATCCCGTGCGCATTGAAATTCCACTGGCTGCGCTGCTATATATGCGACACAGTTTCCAGCTGTCCACAATGTTTGTACAATCCTCTTCACCGACACATTTCTGAAAGACATCTCTTTTCATGTTGTTATTAAGCTCTTTCATTTTCTCTTGAACTGCCAAGCCACTCATGATCCCTGACCAAAAGACTGTCATGCTGCTGGCTTGAGCAAAAGACACGGACTTGGAATGGCTTGAACTCTTGGATTCTTTTCACTTCATCCAAAAGCACCCAGAACTGTCAGAACTGTCAGAGGTCTTTCCCCAACTACCAGAGGCTCACCTGTGATGGTGTGATGCAGTGCACGCCACACCCTTCACTACAAGGTGATTTTGAAAGGGTCCAGCCGTGTGGACAGTGATGGCACACCAGTTGCTTATTCTCCGTCCCCTGCAACTTCATTTCGTCCACGCCAACTCACGACTTCGCTCATTGCGGAAACGAAACATCATCCAGTTGGTTCGTAGTGACAGGTGATGGAACCCAATTTGATTGTGTGGGCGGAGCGTATCTCAAGCCACCTGCTGTCGGAGCCAATGTTGGGCACAGCTTCAGTCCTGGATTGACAGATGCTGGAGCAGGCCCTCTGACTCTTCGTGGCTCAGCAAAAAAAGACTTCCCACCCCTCATGTTGGCCTCCAGCTGCACGACGATGAAAGTGCTTAAGCCTTGCAGGAAGAATCAAGGGGCTTGCAGTGCCCTTTGGTTGCCATCAGCCTCACACACCGGCTCATTCTAAAGGTAACGTCTGGCCGATAGAGCTGAGCTGCACTCTACCTACAGTCCACAACAGTGATTGCCGAGCTGTCCGGCAAGTTGTCCCAAGAGCTTGCCGAAGAGCATGGCTTCCGTGAAAGGGTGCTGTCGCGTGTGTTGTTGGGCAGGCGTTTGCCCGGCCAGTCGCAAACACAGCCCGGCATTGGTTCTCAGCTGCAAGCCGCGCAGCCTTCGAGCTAATTATATCCTTTGCGGGGTGTCTGTGATGCCGAAGTTCTGATGGACAACAACAACGATGACAGCGACGAGCCCGAAGAAGGGGCGCTCAAAGTGCGCAGGCAGAAATTGGGCGAGATTTGATGGTTTCTCCTGGGTTTGCGGAGTGTCTGCAAGCTAGTTGACGGACTCTTTGAGGGCTTGCGCCGAAAGAGCGCCCTTTCGTGGCCAGGAAATGCTTAGCAGAGTGAAAGAATACCGCGAGGGGGCCCCATTGCCATGCCCACCAATGTCACCACCGACGTGGGCCCCGCGCTGCTTTTCAGCTTGACCATACCCTCAAGCTTAAAGCTCAGATGTTCGGTTTCGGAGCTTCAATGTGGCTTGGGTCGCAGCCCTGTTTGCGGCTGACAGTCTCAGCGGCCAGCGCAAGTCTGGAGATTTGCGGAAATTTTCCAATGTCAGCGCTCGAACTTTCCACGTCAGAGCAAGACCTGTTGTGTAAATGCAACTACATAGCAATGCGCCGCTTGGAAGCTAATGGCAAACCCTCGACTCGAATGAGGGTATGCAACATTGCCATTCCAAACTCTTTGGCGCCGCCCAAGTTCCAACCGGTCACCGTCCTCGACGAGGAGGAAGAGTGTGCCAACAACATGTTTTTGGTGTTGTCAGCAGGTGATTGCTTGAAATTATCGCGCAGACAGCTACCCAGAACCCAATTTTGCGCAAATGGTCAAATTGTGACATTCCCTTTTTTCTGTTGGGATTCGTAACCGTGTTTAATCTCAGGCGACTGGGTGCACGGCTAGTTTGAACTTGCTCATGCAGTCATTGGGGGATTCAGTGGAGTCTGGCGTCAACGCTAAATCGTGAAGTTTGACGCCGCTATTTTGGCCCAGCTGATTGCTAGCCATAGATTGGGTTGCAAGGATGGCGCCTCGAGGTGTGCACAACGCATTCTTTGCCTGCGCGGTGTTTTTCAACAAAGTATTTTGTGCTCACTGGAGAGCAGGATCGCGGCTACGGTCCTTTCTAGTCCTGGCGATTGCAGTCATTCAGGTGGGCATTGTTTGCATTTTCGATATATTTTTCCACATGAGAACGAGAGAGCAGCCGCTTTCTTCCATTCAACTGGCGCAGCACTCGTGATTTTTCGTGAATTGCTGGCGTTTCACTTTCAATGAGTCCTTACCTGAAATCTGAATTCAACCCGTCCACAGTTCTATCATGTGATCAGAGGTCCTGCCACCACAGAGTCGTCAGAGTCCTTAGATGGAAGCAAAGGTGAAGAATCCCAGAGGAAGAAGTCAAGAGTGTGACAATCCTGAACTGTTTGTTCCACAGATTCTGTGTTTTTTGTCGAAAAACATTAGCATGATGCTGCGTGCGAGGTCTTACTTTCACGCCCAGCCGAAACCAAGGATGGGGCCAGGCCGGTAGAATGGTGGGTTGTTCCACCGGAACCCAATGCGAATTCAATAAGATCACCATCAACAATGAGGTTTTACTTATTTGTTTACCGTACCCGTCAATTTTCGTCGTGTGTTAGTCAGAATAACCAAAAATGGAACCCAAGGTTCCAACGTTTTGACCTCCCCCACGCCTTGGACGAAACGTTTCTTTCGTTTCTTCAATTTTCCATTGTACTTCTCCTGTATTCCCACTAAATTGGTTTTGTAATTTGAATCTGGGTTGTGCATTCAAGTGTTTGCTTCAAGAAACAGTAAGAAGTAAGAACATTTGATTTTTTGCAGGCTGGGCGCACCACAGTGGCCAGAGCTGCTGTGTTGGACGTAACGTCGATTCCTTACATGATGTAATTCATTTTGTGCTAATGAAATCACAGTCCCTTTGAGACAATTCCACGCCATGAGAGCTAGTCGTCCTATCTTTTTTCAGAATTGAAAGGTGGACTGTGAAGGGCCCTGAAGGGCATGAATTGAATGATCTTCGGTTGGCTTGATCGAAAGTGGTAGCACTCAAGGACGGCAGAGGAGCTTGATGAGGTGCCCTGACCAAGGTCTTTGCACTTTGGAAGGAAACTATCCAAAAATGAGAAAAAGAAAAACAGGGGCACCTTCAATATCCTTTTAACAAGGCTTAAAGGGCCTGGTCAAAGGAGCCCTTACCATTTGTTGCAACTCTTTTTCTGTTCCTTTCTACGATGCTAAGGGGCAGCTGACATTGCTTACTTTTTTTTAATGCTAAGGGGCTTGCTTACTAGATTTTTTTTGTGACAGCTGACGATAGACGTCAGTTGTAATACAAGACGTCAGTCCATGCATTGTTTCTAATAGCTTCCTTGTTCCTAGTAGTAAGGCCAGGAGCCCCTAGTAGCTTCTTGCTCCTAGTAGTAAGGCACTTGTTTCTAATAGCTTCTTGTTACTACTAGTAAGGCACTTGTTACTAGAAGCGATGCACTTGTTCCCAGTAGCTTCTTGTAATGCTGCATTTTCGACCGTGTGCAATTGTGATGAAACGAGGCCATTGCAAGAACTGCTCGTGAGGACTCAAAGAATCGTGTTTGGCAGTCAAATGGTGCCTGAAACAGCAGAGGAGCCCAATGTATTGATTGTCGGCTATTCCACGACTTGGCACCTTAGCAGGAACATGTTTGGACAGCACACGCTACAAGTTCTCAATACCCATCAATTAGCGATGGCCTCGAACCTAAGAGCGTTGGCCTCCAACTTACGAGCGATGGCCTCCAAGCTAAGAGCGATGACCTCCAGCCTACGAGCGATGGCCTCCAACCTGAAGTCTAGATATATTATATATTTGTTTTTGTGTGTCCATTTTGCCGTAACCTCCAAGGTGTGGTCCTTGCAAGCTCATGGATCCCAAGGCTCCCGAAGCGATTAAAAAGTTGTCATGTCTATTGAAGTCTGTTTTTTCAAAGCCTTTCCCGCAACAGCTTTGAATATAGAGGGAAAGAAAGTTCAGATGGTCAGGGGAGGCTACCGCTAGTAGGTTGGAGGCAATCGCTAAGAAAGGTCGGATGGTCAGACTTCTAATTCTCCCTTCAAACCCTAGGAACCCTGGCTCTACTACGTCCTTGCATGTAGACACTTCTTCTACTAGCTGATATGCACTTTAAAAGTAAGTACTACTAGCTACTGCTCGACTACCACCGCCCTCCCACTCCCGAAAATATGAGCAAAACACACTTTCACAACAGCATGTCTTTGCACAAGAGAAGGCATTGTCTTCTTTCTTTTTCCACGTCTTGCCTTCTCTTTTCCACGCTCTTCTCAGGTGAAGGAGCTTAGCGAGACCTTTGAGGGAAAGGCGTCTTTCCTCAAGGTGGGCTAGTAGAGGTGTTTTAAATCGTTTTCAACAAAAGGTGGTGTGATATCTTTGCCTCCAAAAGGCATGCTTTGTACCACTATGCCATGAGCATCAATCAGTGCCTTGACAGGTGATGGGAGACAAGGACAGTCAGTGACTGGCATACCACATGGGCAATATCGTTGTATAGCCTGCTTTGGAAGGAGACGCACAGAGGAGACATAAACATATGTTTCTTTCTTGTGAAGGACGCAGCTCGAATGCAAATCATGAAGCGAGAACAAGTCAGAACAGCACCTCGACACCTCGACGCCTCGAAGGGAAGAACATTTTTCGGAAGGGACACGCTAAAACGAAGACTGTCTTCCCATTGATTTGGCTCTGATAGGTTTGGGAGAACTCTCAGACTTAGCAGCTAATCAGACAGCTAAGAAGTAGCAAGTAGTAAGTAACCAAGTAGTGGCAAGAGAACCTTCCTTCAACCCTTCAGATAATCAAAATGGTTCCTACTATTATATACATTTCCAGGGAAACTTAGCTTGCAAGTGCTTTGTCTTTCTTCCATTTTGTATCCGGTACCGTATCACATGTCTGTTTAGATTTTAGCATGTCCCTACTAATCTCTCACCGAGGTACCTCTCTACCAGATTTACAAGGACAGAGTCTCCATAGCTTTCAAATGACTTTGAGGACGCTGACACCATTTGATGTTTGCTCCCAGGATGGTCAGAAAGTAGGCAGTGTGTCTGGTGCAGACGCAGAACGCTTGACCAGCAAAATTGAGCAGAAGACCTGGCCTGTTATTGTTGTCGCTTGGTGCCGCATCCTTCAAGTACCAACGCGACTTCAGACTTAAGGGAGCGTGATAATTCTAATAGCTTTGGCTTTTTGTTACTACTAGCGAGGCACTTGTTACTACTAGCGAGGCACCTGTTACTACAAGTAAGGCACCTGTTACTACTAGAAAGGCACCTGTTACTACTAGTAAGGCACCTGTTACTACTAGCGCTTGTTACTACTAGCGAGGCACCTGTTACTACTAGTAAGGCACCTGT